GATTTGGAAGGGAAATGAGGGAGGGGGAAGGATTTTAATCATTTCTCCTTGTTTGGCAACACTCAAATTTTAGGAGGGAGGGAAAAATTTTCTCCTCAACCTCCCCTCCAAAATTGAGAGAATTTAGAGGAAAATGGCAATATTTTGTCATGTTGTAACCATTATGCCCATATTTTTCAATGTTGTGATTATTATGCCCATATCTTAAATAAAATAATAGTAAAATTGTCCATATTAAAATATTTTTCCCTCCCCTCTCCTCATGAACCAAATAAGGTAATATTAAAACTCCTCATCTCCCCTCTCTTTTTATAAATCCAAACAAAATAATATTAAAATCCTTCTACTATCCTCCCCTCCCCTTCCCTCCATTAAAATTTCTCCCCTCCCCTTGCTTTCATTGAGCCAAACAGACCTTTAGGGTATGTCTGGCTCAATGAGAGGAAGGGGAGGGGAGGGATTTTAATGGAAGGAAGGGGAGGGGAGGGGAGTGGAAGGATTTTAATATTATTTTGTTTGGATTTATAAAAAAAGAGGGGAGGGGAGGGAAAAACATTTTAATATGGATAATTTTGCTCTTATTTTATTTAAGGTGTGGGCATAATGGTCACAACATGACAAAATATAGACATAATGGTTACAACATGACAAAATATGGGCATAATGGTCATAATATGACAAAATATTGCCCTTTCCCTCCAAATCCTCCCAATTTTGGAGGGGAGGTTAGGAAGGGGAGGGGAAGGGAAATTTTAAAAAATTTTCCCTCCCCTCCTAAAATTTGTGTGTTGCCAAACAAGGGAAAATGATTAAAATCCCTCCCCTTCCCTCCCCTCCCTCCCAAATCCCTCAAACCAAACACACCCTTAGGGTGTCTTTGGTATGAGGGATTTGGAAGGGAGAGAAGAGAGGGATAAAGATTTTAATTATTTCTCCTTATTTGACAGCGCACAAATTTTAGGAGGAGAAGGAAAATTTTAAAAAATTTTCCCTTCCCTCCCCTCCTCAACCTCCCCTCTAAAATTGGGAGGATTTGGAGGAAAATGGCAATATTTTGTCATGTTGTAACTATTATGCCCATATTTTTTAATGTTGTGATTATTATGTCCATATCTTAAATAAAATAAGGATAAAATTGTCTGTGTTAAAATATTTTTCCCTCCCCTCTCCTCATGAACCAAATAAGGTAATATTAAAACTCCTCCTCTCGCCTCCTTTTTTATAAATCAAAACAAGATAATATTAAAATCCTTCCACTCTCCTCCCCTCCCCTTCCCTCCATTAAAATCCCCCCTTCCCTTCCTCTCATTGAGCCAAACATACCCTTAGGGTATGTTTGGCTCAATGAGAGGAAGGGAAGGGGGGATTTTAATGGAGGGAAGGGGAGGGGAGGAGAGTGGAAGGATTTTAATATTATCTTGTTTTGACTTAAAAAAAAAAAAAGAGGATGGGAGGGGAAAATATTTTAATATGGATAATTTTGCTTTTATTTTATTTAAGATATGGGCATAATGGTCACAACATGACAAAATATAGACATAATGGTCATAACATGGCAAAATATGGGCATAATAGTCACAACATAGCAAAATATTGCCCTTTCCCTCCAAATCCTCCCAATTTTGGAGGGGAAGGAAAAAAATTTTAAATTTTTCCTCTCCTCCTAAAATTTGTGTGTTGCCAAACAAGGAGAAATGATTAAAATCCCTCCCCTCGTACCTACGAGGGATTTGGAAGGGAGGGGAGGGAAGGGGAGGGATTTTAATCATTTCTCCTTGTTTGGCAACACACAAATTTTAGGAGGAGAGGGACAATTTTAAAAAAAAATTTCTCCCCTCCCTTACTCAACCTCCCTCCAAAATTGGGAAGATTTGGAGGGAATGGGTAATATTTTATTATGTTGTGACCATTATACCCATATTTTGCTATGTTATGATCATTATGCCTATATCTTAAATAAGATAAGGATAAAATTATCCATGTTAAAATATTTTTTCCTCCCCTCCCCTCATGAACCAAGTAGTAATATTAAAACTCCTCCCTTCCCTTCTTTTTTTTTTTTTATAAATCCAAATAAGATAATATTAAAATCCTTCCACTCTCCTTCCCTCCCCTTCCTTCCATTAAAATCCCTCTCCTCCCTTTCCTCTCATTAAGCCAAACAGATCCTAAAACATTTTTTTAAAGTAAAAAATATCCTGGAAGAGTAGGGTTAGGCCCTACTCCCCAAGAATTAAGCTTTCAACTTTTTTTAATGCTAAATAAAAAAAGCTTTTATCTTTTTAAATTTTCTAACTCCAAAATGGTTTAGTTGTTAACCAGTCAGATTTTTGTTTCGAAGTGAAACCTCAGCTTTCTAAGTTGCTAAAGTCTTAACAACTATCCGAGTTCTCCAAGCAATCTGCCAATTGACAAAACCTCAATAAATTACAGTTAAGAGAAAGAAAACTGAACCGCATAAGTTATCTGTATTAGGTAGATGCAAGAGTGCCGCGCAATCACTTTAATGTCATGTTTGGTGTCATAAAAATTAATATATTAATATTAATAATAAAATCTATAAAAGTTCACACTATTTACAAATCATAAATAGCGCGATGCACTTGAGATTCTAAAGTATAAAACTTATAACTAGAGGTATTCACTTCTATCTTGTTTTAGCATCCCCTCCTCGTTCCAATCATTTTGGGATGATACAAAAACGTTCCAGACCGGGATAGGATGGGGGATAGGAGTGTCCATCCTGATTCTACCCTGATATATTATTTTTTTAAATTTTTTAAATTTAATTTACTTATCATTAATATAATAATAATATTATACTCTTCCGATCCTTAATATAAGACCTATTTAACTAATTTGATTATATTAAGAAAATTAGGTAACTTAGTTAATTATAAAAAATATAACATGTTTTTCCTAAAACACCGTAATCATCTTTCTTAATATCTCCTTTCACTTTTCAACTTGATTATAGTTAAGGGAGTATCGATAAGGGTAATTTAGAAAAAACTGATAAATATGATAAATATGTTTTATATTTAAGATCAAAATCAACTCAATAATTAGGTCCTATATTAAGGACTGAAGGATTAATTTTTATGATTACGTTGTGTACAATTCATAAGTTTTTATTTATAGTTATATGATGTTTTTTAGGAGATATTTCAAGTTTATATATTTTTTTTGTCTTTAAAAAAGAAACATTTTTCTTTGCTAATTTTCAATTAATATCAATTTTTATATAACTCTTTTTATGAGTTTTTATGCTCCAAATACATTTGGCTTAGAAAATAAGAAATAAAAAAAAATAAAAAATGGAATGAAGTGAAAACGAGTTCTTCTTTTTTTATTAAAAAAATAATGTGATTTGAAGTGAATAATATTTTATGCAAAAGATAAAAATAAATATAGCTAGAGAGAAAGACTTCGTAAATGCTCCTGTAGATGGAAGTAATTTTATTTTAGGCTAAAGTATACATTTGGTCCTTTAACTTTATATAAGGTTTCAATTCGGTCTTTTAGCTTTAAAAAGTATATTTTTAGTCCTTTAATCCCAAAATTTCTAGTCTTAAATGATAATTTTTTGTAACAATTATGGTTGTTTTGAATATTAAATTTAATATGTTAGTATTTAGTAATATTTTATCAGCATTCAAAAGTTTAATATCATCATTTTTTATTAACAGTTTTATGATTAGAAGACTAAAAGTATATATATTTTTTAAAGTTAAAGGACAAAATTAAAACCTTGTATAAACTTAAATAACTAAAAATATACTTTAGCCTTCATTTTATTATTCTCTATTTTTTGAAGTTTGAGGGCAATTTTGGAATTCTACCAAATCTTGCTCAGGTTGATTGAATATTAATATGTTGCAAATATGGAACTATGATTGAAATAGGCTTATTTCTTTTGGATTATTGGTTGTCACCGTCACCGATCATCCCAACATTATCGCTGTGTCTAGACGGTGAGAACTGGGTCATGATGTTGGAGTGCGGTAGTCGCCGCCGTGAGAATTGGTGGTCGAGTTGCAGACTAAGCCTTTTCTTTATTATTATTTTTTAGTAACAAGAGTATTTTAAAATTTTGTGAATGAATACAAATATTTTTTCTAAATACTATTAGTCCTTATAGTTTCATTTGATTTTTAATTAAGTTTGTGTTTTCTCAATTATAAGCATAAGTCCGTGTTCAGCTTATGATATGGTAATTAAGATCACTTGTAAATTGTTACCAAATACAAAATAAAAGGTGATTTTTTAAATAATGAAATCAAATTTATTTATTATTAACAGTAAAATAAAAAGGTATACTAATAACTATCCCCTTGCAAATATATACAAGTAAAACGACTAATCCTTATTATTAAAGAAATTATAGGAATTCAATAAAAAGGGAAAAAAACAAGAAATAAAGAAACTTACTTTAAAATCAGATAAAACTATAAGCAAGTATGAATTAATTTTCTCAAAAAATTATAACGGTCATACCAAATATATTTTAAAAATTAATTTTATTATAATTCCAATTTTGATTTTTTAATCTTATTTTATAAAAAGTCTTCCACCATGCCAAATACAAATGAGGCCTGATTTTTTGTTAACAACCACAGTTTTGTTTTGTCCAACAAAAAACAAGGATAGAACTGGACAGCCATTTCTATCACACACCAAACCAAAAAAACAAAAAATGCTACTTTCATTTCCATTGCCTTCCCTTACTTTCCATCAAATCAAACACATACTTTTATTTTTATTTCATTTCTCTTAAAATACATAATATATTATATTATTGTAAAGAATCACATGACCAAACAAAGTGTTAAAAATGGCTCATATGTCATTTATTACAAATTCAATGACTGTGACTGTAAATTTTCCTTATAAATATCACAAGTCCTTTTTCAGTTAGATACCTTGGGCAATGGGTCACTCCCACCTAGGTTAAATTATCCCATCACCACACACCCAAAAACAGAGCATCTTCCTCCAACTTCAATTAAATTTTCTTTTTCCTCACTATGACTTTTACAGATTTCCCAGAAAAGAACAGGAAAATAAAATATCCAAACTAATGAAAACCACTAGATTCAATCTCACTTAATTCAATTTCAGCCACTAAATTTCTCTGCAGCAGCACTAAGTAATCTCTCTGCTGGTTTTGCAGATCTGTTTGGAAAAACCAGCAACAGCCTGAGAAAGAGGCAGAGAATTTCCTCTTCCTTGAGCCTAAAAACTACTGGAAAAGGTTAAATTATTCATAACCAAACCAGAAAACAGATTCCTCTTCATGTACTGTACAATGACAGTACTCAGAAGTGGAAGTTGCTTTTGAATTAATTATTATCAGAAGATTTATGAACTTCCTGTGACTATGACTTTCCTATTTAATATTCACCATTAAGGGAACAACAACGGTTACTGGGGGGGGGGTTATTTACTTGGAAGCTGAAACAGAGCCCACTAAAACGCGCATGCTTCTTCATAAATTCTTCTGCATAAAGATAAATCCCAGAAACTCCAAATATTTTTTTATATAAAATAAATAAATAGAGTGGAAGTTTGAATCAGAACTACAGAACAATAAACATCTGTCCCTGTCCCTGTCCTTGTCCTCCATTAATGGATGCTCTAAGTCATTTGTTACAGAAACAAAACATAACCCAGAAGTACTGGATTATTACTGTTAGAATCTGAGGACAGAACAAATATGTGAAAAACTGAAAATTGCAATCAAATTTTTGTTTGTTTGTTTGTTTGTTTACCTTTAGGGATCATCATCTTCATCAACATCATCGATCAATCAAGCTAATTGTGCTCCAATGATTTGTGAGCTGTGTTTGAGGAATTCTGCATCTGAAACTGCAGAATTTTCGATTTGGCTGATCTCATCTTCATCAACTTGAGCAGGAAGGTTAAGATCTATCAAACTGTTGTTATCTCCGAACTTGGTTGGTGGAATTCGAATTGCAGAACCTGTCACGTGCGTTCTCTTGTGGCCTCCAAGAGCTTGGCCTGAAGCGAACACTCTGAAACAAACTGGACATTCATGGATTTTCTTCTCCGCCGCCATGGGGACATTTCCCTGCTCAATTTCTGGTTCACATATGACCGGTTTGATTTTCTTGTGACTTGCTCTGTGACCTCCCAATGCTTGATATGATCGAAACACTTTATTGCACGTCTCACATTTGTACTTTCCACGAACTGATCGCGTCTTTGATGATTTCATCTCCTCGTAGAATTCATCAGAATCTTCCACAGATCTCTCTCCGTCATCGTCGTCTTCCTCGTCGTCTTCCTCTTCTTCTTCTTCGTCTTCCTCTTCTTGCTCTTCGTCTTCTTCTTCTTCGTACTTTTCCTCTTGTCTCTTCCATTTGTCCCTGGACAACATCATAAGACAAAATGCGACATCTTCCTCGGTGGTCGCATCAGAAATCGAACTCACCGGTTCAGGCTCGACCCAGGACGACTCGGTCTTATTATTCTTGTTGTGAGGATGGTGATGATTATGATGATGATCATTACTGGGTTTCATCTTCTTCTGATGATGATGGAACTGGTTATTACATGCCCTTTTGGATCTCGTTCGAGTTGGATTCTTGGATGATTCAGTCTCGCTTTCTCTGTCTTGAAGAACTACAGAGGCGGATTGTACGGGAAAGGAAAAGTCAGGATCCACAAGGCGAAAGCTTCTCTTAGGATTCTCTCTGAGGCCATAGCAGAGAGCTTTGTCATCCTCTTCTTCTTCTTCTTCTGAGGATGACGATGACGAAGAAGACGGAGCAGACTCGGCCTCGAAGCTGAGCTGAACTAATGGTGGTGGTGGTGGCTCCTCTAGTTTTGGAGGAACAGGAAGGTTCACCATATGAGACCTCATGTGACCTCCCAAAGCTCTGCCATTAGAGAAGTTTCTCAAGCAGAGCTTGCACTTGTGCTTCTCCATGATCAACCAGAGAAATCACAGAGAAAAAAGGTCCAGACTTGTGAGCTTATTGGCATTTTGTTCTGTGAGAGAGAAAGAGAGAGAGGAGAAGAGAAAGAGAGTTATGTGTGTGCAAACTATAAAGGAGTAGGTCATAAGCATTCATCCACCAATACAAGATGATATATACAAAGGCCCAGAGTTTTACAGGAAAAAACAATAATATAAAGATTAATTAATTTGGTTTTTTTTATCAAAGAGGATGATTTTATTTTATTTTTCTTTTTGAGAAAAACGTCAAAAGCGAAAATAAACCTCAATTAATGGGAAATTTAATTAGCGTATGAGTTAAGGTAGAAGGAGCAATATGTAACATGCGAGATTTGCCCGTTTCTGTATTTATTCGCCGTCGTTCTCGCCTTTTATTCATTTCCCATAATACCCTTTCTTTACATCTTGAGAATAAAAGTAAATAATTAATTCTAGAATCACTTAATGATACCAACTTTTGCTAATAAAAATATGATATATATATATAGATATATAGATAGAATTTTTTTTTCATAGCCTAAATCTTACAAAAATTATTTACTGACTCAGCTTTATAAAATTATTTCCATAGGAAGTAATAGTGAAACACCGAGCTCATAATAAAAGAGTTCTCAGCGTAAATTTACATATTTGAGGGACTCATCTTAAAATTTTAAAGGTTGCTTGGAAAAAAAACGGTGTAGTAAAATCTTCTGTATGCATGGCCTGAATTTAATTTAATTTATTGAAAAGAGACCAAAAAAAAGATACAAAGTAGTTTTGAAATAAATGGAAGGGTAATTTAGGAATTCCGGGGGAGGCTTCCGGCAAAAGCCGGTGGATTACCGGTCCATGTCATCGTCAAGGAAACTGCTAGAGGGTTTGTTGTAAGTTGTAACGACGACGCCGCATAAAATAGCAGACGCCAAAGTCTCCGAATAAAAAGCGTTAGGCTCACGAGGCTGTGACCTGAGCAACCCAATGGGATGCTTACACGTCACTCACATGGCCAGCTGTCTTTTCCACAGCCAATGGTTTGAGGAGCCCCAGTTTTGTCTTTTTCTAAGGCCTAAAATAAATAAATTGGTACTAAAATGGGAAAAAAGGGACGTATCATGTTGTGGTGTTGGGGTAACCGTTGGAAAATTGAAAAAAAAAAAAAAAAAGAAGCTGTTTTGGGATGTGTTGGCCTTCAAAAATGGATCTGTGGTTGTAACGTGTGAAGGGGAAAAGGAGGAGAGAAACTAACTGTCCTTTGAGAAAGGAGTAACATTAGGGGATTAAATGCCGTTTTGTTAGGGGTTGGTAGACCCAGTCCCACTACTTCTCCTCAACTCTTTTTTTTTCTTCTTTTGTTTTTGTGGTAAAATTCTTTTTTTTTTTTTTAATTTTTCTCTCTCTGTGTGTGTTTATGTTAATGTAAACAAAACTCTATTTAATAATGCTTCCTTTGATGTGTGAAAATTCTAAAATATCTTTTGAAGTTGAAATGGCTTAATTCGTATAAAAGTTTCAGAAACTGCTTCTTTGATATTATTTTAAAGTCATTTTTAGTGTGTTTTATCCAAACTAAAAAAAAGGTTAAATCTCATTAAATTATCTTAAGGTTTATTTAATTTATAACTCTACCTCTAATTGATATTAATATATATACTTTCTAAGAAAATAACAGTCTATACAATAATAAATAAATGACAAAATTGTATATTCATATAAAAATTTAACGATGCTATTTGTATAAAATAAAAAAAATTTCTCTCTCTGACTTATAAATAGTACAGGAAAATATTTTAAAATGAAGTTTTTGTTAAATAACTTAGTTGCCTTCAATATAATTAGTTGCCACCACAGTAGCTCAGTTGTTCTTATCGTTTAACAAGTTAAGGTTGTTAACTTGTTAAACTATTGTTGATATTTATAGTGTAGATTTCAAATTAAGAACATAAGGTAATTTTGATATAAAATTTAATTCCACATTAATCCTTTAAACGTTTCACAATGATTAGATCATTTCCGGATCCTAATTGAAATTTATAGATTTGAAGGCATTTTTGCGTCTTCCTCCTTGGCTGGCTCCCTCTTTGTTGCCGCGTTCACTCATTTATGTTAGACTCATCTAAAAATAAGTTGTGCTATTGGAGTACATTAGTTTTCCTGACTTCTTGCGGCAACAAGATGCTCGTCTATTTCTAATTTTAATATTTAGACCGTCTTTAGTATATAGTTTTTTTTAAAGATATACTGTTACTATATTTTTAAAACAAAATAAAAATATTTTAACAGCCAAATTTCCAGAATAATGATAAAAGATGAAAGATAAAACACTACAAGAAAATGTTAAGTTAGCAGCGGAACATTTCTAGCGGTTCAATTAAACCGCTAGAAAATTCTAAAATTTCTAAAACCGCTACAAATTAGCGACGCTTTGACCATTGCCCGCATATTTCTAGCGGTTATCACCTAACCGCTAGAAATTCATAGCTAGATCCTTTCCCGGGTTTTGGCGGGAACTTAGTGCCAAAATTGTAGCGTTTACTTTGTAGCGGTTTCGAGCTGAACCGCTAGAAAATTTTTAATTTCCCGAGGAGCTATATGTGACCGTTGCAATTTCTAGCGGTTTATGCAAGAACCGCTAGAAAAAGTGTAAATTCCCAAGGTGCCGTAAATGCGGTGAGTGACCGTTAGTGTTTTGTAGCGGTTTTGTCCAGAACCGCTAGAAATTTCTAGTGGTTTTACCAAAAACCGCTAGAAATGCGTGGCCTATATATACCCCCCTTCACTTTCACTTCTTCAGTCGTTCAAGAAGCGAAGCTCTGCTGAATTTTCTCCACAAGATTATATCCGAGTTCTGATTCAGTTGCAGATCCTTATTTTCAGGTAGAAGTAGTAATTTATTTATAAATAATTTTTTCTTTATGTTTTATTTAATTTATTATATTGTGGCTTATAAATAATTTTTTTTATTTTATTTATAAATAATTACTATTTGTTGTTATTAGGATGAGTCGTCGGCCAGGGAAGGAGCCAGTTGATCCTGAGAGAGCTGGACCCAGTGAGGATCGTCATGATGGTGGTGAGCCATTTCCCAGCATTCATGACTATGATGTCAGCGAGGAGGATATCCTCAGTTTTATGGAGCAGGACGATATTGAGCAGATTGAGGAGGCTCATTTGACTGGGGATGAGCAACCCCATGCTGATGCTGATGCTGCTGACGAAGAGGAGGAGGAGAAGCAGGTTCAGGGGAATGAGAATCCCTAGGCTGCGCAGCGTCCTGCTCCCAGACGTCAAGCTGGTTTTGAGGTGGAATTTGTGGGTAAGTATTTATTTAACTTTTTTAAATTTGATAAGTATTTAATTTATATAGAAATTATATTAATTCATTGATATATAATTTATTTCTTAATTAAATTTTGCAGACACTGAGGGGAATAGGTCCTATAGGAGGCTGACAGCCAGAGAGCTGTCTATAATGACGAGCGGACGAGTGGTTGTGCCGCTCAAGGAGATGATAATTTGCCAATTATCAGGTATACGTCTTTTCTTAAATTATTTAAATAATTAACTACTAATTACTAATTTTTTCCAAATACATTATAATTCTAACAAATTTTTTAAAATGTGTCCTTTCAGGCCGGATGATGATGGAGAATAGCAGCATCCAAAATTTTTATTAAATTTTCCGTCCATAAATACATATGTATAAATTAAAATTCGTACAGATTTTTAAAAAATAAAAAATTATAAATTTGTAGCGGTTACATAACCACTACAAATTTATTATAAAAATTATAATTTGTAGCGGTTAATAACTGCTACAAATTATAACCGCTACAAAATACTAGCGGTTATGTGTACGCTAGAAAATGACTAATAGATACAAAATGCAATAAAACGCTACAAAAAAACCGCTACAAATGTGTCACTGATCTCTATAAATATCATATCTTCTCTACATTCATTTACTCCATCTCTTTTCTTTCCTCTCCTATTCTTCCTCATAATTCTCTCTTTTTTTCTTACTCTCTCATATGGTGGTTTCTTTCTCTTTACTGTATGGTAAGTGAATTTTATTTTATAAAACATTGTATCTTTATTTGTTTTTACTTAAAATTTACTAACATATTTATTTCTTCTTTTCTTTCAGATTTTTCTTGCTCACACTTGTCATGCCCTCCTCAACCTAACACTATAGGTTCAATATTACAAACTATCTCACCTTCATTTCAACTATTTTATTAAATATTTAATTCAATTATCTTATTAAATTAAATTCACTTCCTTTGACACACTCATAATTTAATTACATATTGTTTATTACAAAATTTAAATATATAAAATGTAACACAACTAATTATACAAATTAACAAAAATTCTTCAACATAATCTATTTAATGGTTTTTAAAATTATAATATTATATTATCTAATAATGAAAAACCACAAATTTTTTTTGGCACGGAAAACATTTCTAGCGGTTCTAAACCGCTACAAATATTTCGTAAATCCGAAATTTCTAGCGGTTCAAACCGCTAGAAAGTTTTTGGCGCCATTCCAAAAATTTAATTGGCGGGAAATTTTAATTTCCCCGAAATTTCTAGCGGTTCTTCAACCGCTAGAAATGTTGGCGGGCTAATGAAAATTTTTAATTCCCGATAAAATGAGATTTGGTACAGAATTTTTCTAGCGGTTATCAAACCGCTAGAAATTTTTTTCCTTTCAGCATTTTCTAGCGGTTGGATAACCGCTAGAAATTGTCTAGCGTTTTGACCATGCTGTGTAGCGGTTGCTATAACCGCTAGAAATTTTTTTTTGCGCCTGGTTTTCTAGGGGTTTTGTTAACCACTACAAATATTATTTGTTGCGGTTAAAACCGCTAGAAATGTCTCACTTTAACCGCTACAATGGACATATTTTTTTATAGTGAAAATACAATCTTGAATACCTAATTGAAATGCGAACAAATTATATACTACTCAATAACAAAATACCAAATCCAACTCACTTATGTATATAAAATACTTGATAAATGTTTGCTTTTTATCCTGTTTTTTCCTACACACCATACTTTTTGTCTTTTAATTTTATATAAGATTTCATT